ACATGGTTTTTCTGTACCATCTGGTGTACCTCAAGGAAGTGTCTTGAGCCCAATCCAGATCTTATGTATGCCAACAACTTTCCTTATCACATTGTGTCAGCTAGCACTTTATTTAGTAACAATGCTCTTGTGTATTGGCCAATATAATGTCAGTCTGATGACCTTCATAATATTCATGGCTTCCAAAAATGTTGTCATGCTAATAAAATGCGTCTCAGTACATAACTAAGGAAAACAAAGGTTTGCATATAGGATGCTTAAAGAAAATAGTGGACCTGAATTGTACCTTAGTTAACATGCAGTTTGAAGCTGATAAGGAGTACAAAATTTCTCGGGAAAATCTTGTTATGTCACTACCAAATCAAACAGACTTATTATGTCTAGCTTTCATCTTGCAAGTTTCTAGTGTTGACTATTCTGGAATACAAGTAGCTTATCTGGTACCTTCAGAACAGAAACCTTATACATCGACAAATTAGAACAAAATTCAACGTTGAGCAACCAGGATAATTCTCCAGTGAAGAAGATTTAAGATGGATTACACGGATTGGTTGCATATGTACATTGAATTTGTCTTTACGTGATTTTAAAAGCATCCATCTTTTGCTTACATTTGTTAGAGATCTTCATAGAGCCTTTGACCTTGAAAAAGTCTCAGTGAACAGGTGATATATTGAAACGATCAGGCTGGACAAACCTAAGGGCACGAATGCAGAAACTTCACATTTTGCCAATTACATGCTCTTGAGATGAACTACATGTACCAGAACGTTTGAAACTGAAGTGGTTTAAATAACCCTTCAACACCGGATCAACTTACCAAGTACCCACTTGAATTTGAAACTATATGAAACTTTACAGAGTACTGATTGAATTTGCAGTTGAGTACCCTTGTAATAAGGTCGTTGGGACTGGCAAGTTGTGGGAGGGTCACTGTGTTGTTTGGTGCAAGGAAGCACAAAATGGGGGGGGGGATTTGAATACCTAGGATTTGCCATGTGGGCCAGATGTGTCATTCGTTTTCTTTTTGTCGGTCTTCAACTGTATTTTGTTATTTCATGGTTTCATTCTTTTTTTCGGTTTTTACACAATAAATTTCTTTCATTGTTTTGGGTTACTTATTGATTGATTGATTTGTTTCTGTAATTAATTTAATTTTCTTATTTTAATGTATTTGTATTTATTTATCTTATTTTTGCGATCTGAATGTACTTTTTCTTTTCGATTTATTTATTTGCCATTTC